CATCATTCTCCTCATCCTCCTCATCCCCGTCGTCCTCCTCATTCTCCTCCTCCGTTTCCTCCTCGCTGCTTTGAAGACTCTCCAAGTAGCTCAGCACCCTGCCACCGTGACCAGTGGTCAGCTGATGTTGGATCGGCTGTGGCAGCTCTGGAGTCTAGTGTGCGAGGGCGCCAGGTCTAGGCATGTAGCTGTGTGGAGGCAGGTCAGGAGCATGTGTCGAGACGAGCCTGGGCCTGAATGTGTGTGGACCACCGCTCATCGCTCGCTCAGGGATGTGTTGTCGGTGCCCCCTCGTGACCCGTCTTGCTCGGCCAGTCCGATCCTGATGTCATCGGAGACAAATGGGCATATTATTTTGCGAAGCTAGGAGTCAGACATCACGTCGCTCTCCAGATTCTTACCAATGTACACAAGGTGCAGTTGCGAGATGTCAGACTTGAGGGAGGAGTTGTCTCGTGGATGGTGCAGGAAATGGCGGGGAGGGCTCAGTTGTTGCAGCCTCGGTCCGAAACCCCTCGGACGTTCAAGGCCGCGCCTGTCCCCCAGCTCTCCCCCACATCACGTTAATTCGTTTACTTCGCGCGTCTGGCAAACACTTTTTTGATCCGCGGGTCGAGAGCGAGCCTCTTCCGGTCGAAGCTAAGCGGGCCGCGCGAAGCTTGAATTAACCAGAGATGGGGGAGGAAAAGTGGGGCGCAGCCTCAGAACGAGGCCGGCGCGTCTGGCAAGCACGCGCGCACGTCTAAATCTGATCGAGGACTTCAATCGGCAGCGCGTGAGCCGACGCCTCCGATGCAGGCGGCGGCTGACCGTTTTTTGTCCGACTCTCGCCCGAGACTTGGGCCTCCGCAGCGCTGCCATTACGTCGGGCCTGTCCCCCTACAGGGGGATTTTCGACGAAAAATAAAACATACCCCCAAAATAAGCAAAACAAGTCCAAACATAGTCTGGGGGCCATGTTTGGCCTGTTGTTTGACCTTTTTGGAGCATTTTTGGGGTATGCTTTATTGCTCGTCAAAAACCCCCCCGTAGGGGGACACGCCCGACATGACGCTGCCAGCTTTGGCGGCCGCCCTCGCGGGCGCGGCTGATGTCGAGCAGCGTGGCGACGGGGTTGCAGGCGCGGCCCCAGCCCTCGCGGAGGAGGAAGAGGCTGCCCCTGCTGACGGGGCGTTGGGCCTCATCCTTTCCGTGGGTCACCAGGCCGAGCGGTTCGGCTCGGATCTGTCTTGCATGCGGTGCGTATGTAGTTCGTGGCGGCAGGAACCCCGAAGCTCACACCTAAGGGATGCGGAGGGCATTCGGCGAATGCTTCCACTCGTCATAACGAGGAGGCCCAGATCAGCAGAGTGATGAAAGACCTTTATCCCCGCTCGGGGGCCCCACTTCCCCCGGAGTAATCGGGCCCCGCGGGGGGTACTAAGTTGGGCGAGAACTGTGAGCGGAGGCACTCACCTCTGCACAGCGTCTGTCGTTTCCCTCTGCTGGGGCGCGCATAGGGATCGGCTGCGCCTTCAATCTCTCGGGACATCCTCCTCCTCCTCCTGCTCTTGCTCCTCATTTTTTTGGCCCTCAGACCAATGCCTCAGAACATCAGTGCCTGACCTGCAAACCAAGACACATCTGCAAGCCAGCAAATCTCAATCAGGCTGAAATGTCAAGGCAATAGTTCACCTCAACAATCACCCCCACCTTATCGGGATGACGCCCAATCGAGACTCGCTTCCAATTCTTCACTCCCGTGACAGCCGGGGTGCCACAGTTACGGCCCAAACCTTCGACCTGGGCCCCAGAACTGTAGAACTTGCAGTGCATACACACAAAAAGGGAGTTGCTGTCTGAACAGTACAGTGCGATCACACGATGGCCAAGGCGCTCCAATACCACAGAGTCTACACGACTGTGCCCTGAGCACCCTGACTTTCTTGGCATCTCGACCGCCAGAGAACCTCTCAGGCAGACGCGACACCTCCAGACCTTGGACATGTACTCCCATGAGTGCTGCTGTCGAGGGGCCACAGGGGCAGGGGGAGGATAAACGCGCCCCACACCCAAGAACTCCACGCGAGGCCAAAGAGGAAGCCCAGTAGCACCCAAGGACAGTACGGCTTTCGAAACACGAATTGCCCAATCAAGCTCCTCAAAGAGCCTAGCATCGAAAACGGGGTGCCTCGAAACCGCTCTTTTGGCCCAGCATCCGCCAAATCATTGCCCAACCTGCAGAAGCGCTCCACAGCGGAACTATTCGGCTCATCGGGGTTTCTGCGAGCGTCAACTTTGGCTAACGACCGCAAACGGCGGTCACCGAATGCCAGCCCTTGAAGCAACAAGCCCGAGTACACATGCTTGGGAGACCTGCAGGAATCGAGACATTGGGAAAAACTGGGTCACAACATTGCTACCGTCACTGTATGCATCAGTTTTACTCGGAAACACCATGCCCATTCCACAGGACGCCGAGAACTCCGCGGCTTGCGGAGACTGCACGTAAGGTGGCCAAACAGGCGCGGACACTTCACATAAAGCCTCCGCCTGAGAATTAACCATCACCACACACCAAGCACTACGCGAAAGCTCGGCCACAGGGTGGCGAATACACGAGCCATCGACAAACAACGAGCCCCAGACCCCAAGCTCAGGAGAGGTGTTAGTTGGCATCGAGTCACCAGGAACGGCGATCTGAGAAACATGCCAGTTGACCAAGAATTGCCCACTATTAGCAGGACGAGGGAAATAGTCTCCTGGATGACAGAACGCACCATACACCCAAAGAGGCCACTCATAACCCTCATCGTCAACACGCAGCGCAGCCGACAGTATATCAGAGTCCACCGCCTGCTCACGAACATCACTGCAAGCGGGGCATTCCCATAGCCGATGCCAGATCGCGCCCTGGGCTCCTTGACAGAACAGACACTAATCTGAAATGTCGTAGCCTGCTAATCTGGCACTGCTGGCCGCCCAGATCGCGTTGCAGGCCAGCGCTCTCACAGTGGCTTTGCCCATGCAAGAAAACTTCTTGGAACGCAATCTGGATTGAACAATGCCCCAACAAAGTCGGTGCCGGACCCCCAGCTTCTCACCCGAGGCCCCCTCGAGGCCTCAAAAATTCGACGCTCCCCCCAGGAGAGCCACCAACTTGGGGGGAAACAACATGAACGAAACCTCCTCACCCATACCATTGATAAGAGCCGACACAGGCCCCCTCACATTGGCCCAGGACCAGTCACCCCTCGCAAAACAAACCTCCCACGAGCTCCTCATCCCCTGCAAGGATAAGGCCCCATCAAAAGCTTTGGTCTGCCGTAACCAAAGCTCCTTCGACCACCTAACCAGCGGCGCAACAGCAGCGCGCCATGGAGGGCCGCCCTCCAAAAGAGAGAGGATAGTGAGAGACCTGTGCTGAGATTTGGGAGAAACAGTCGACATGTCCTTGCTCGTATATGCACGAAGCTCCGCATCGGGAGCCCCGCAAACTCCACGGCCGCACGTCGCGCCCGCCAGCGGGCCCGACGCAATTATTTTTTTTTCACCGCGGCCCTTCCCAGAACTTTCTTGCGCCTGCCAAGGCGACGACAATTCCGAGAAAAAACAACACAACAAAACAAAACAAAACAAAAAAAGGCGACCTGGCGAACTTACATTTTCCTGGCTTTACCCTTTGTGAAGCCTGGGGCCGTCGTGCGCAATGGCCTTCCCGCCGTATAATCAACTCCCAGGTTAACAATCGAGGAAGAGGGCTTGCCGCACAGCTCACCCAGTTGTTCTTCCAATGCAGGGCAATTGCACGATGGCTGCGCACGCAGCCCACCTTGTCGAGGGCAAGCTTGCAACCTAAGGCTGTAATAACTGCTGCGCGATGCAGACTCTTAGAAGCTGCAACCAACGAGTCGACCACTTCCGTGGCTGTGCCCGTGTGAGACAAGCCCGCGTCGCCCACATAGGCATCGAAGTCGGCGCCGCGCGACATGACCACCCTGTCGAAGGACTCAAGGGCGAAAGCTCTGATAAACGAAGTGGCCATGGAGCGCCCCGCGATGACTCCCGAGACGACCCAGAACGGCCCCTCGACGATGCCTCCTAGATTCAGAAAGCGACACGACTTGTAGGCCGCAGTACACACCCTGAACACAGAGGGGGGAAAATCCAAATTGACACATTGATCCTCTAAATACTTAAGCGACATGTTTCCACAGTGCTTCTGAAGGTCGCGAAACACCAAGCCCGAGACCCACCCTTTGGAGGTTCCAGTCTCAGCCCGAAAACTTTGCCTCCAAACAACGTCCGCAGCCCCTCTGTTGGCTCCCGCAGCCCAGTAGGGCCCGGCAAAACGCTTTTCCCAAGCTGAAGCCACGGACCTCCTGCCTCGGCACCAAAGTCTATACCACGAAACAAAAACCCTCATGGGCCTAAAGCCTCCAGTGGGCTTGGGCAAAGGGGCCAGCAAAACAATACTCATCTGCATAGGCAACCTTCCAGTGGCTTCCATGACCAGAAAGAGACCAGCCAGGGCCTCAAGCGCCTCGTCCGAGAGAAAACTGAAATGGCGCAAATGGAAGCCGTCCACTGAGACAGCGCTGCCAACACGGTATTTCTTGCTGAGCTGCCTCAACTCAGCAGGAGAGAAACGCGGCAAATAAGGCATGAGCTCAACAGGTCCTTGGGGGGGGGGGCCCGAACTTTCGCCCCACCACGACTGAAAGCGAGCGCCTTCAGCCTTGAGCAGGGAGCGTGGGTCCGCTCTGACCTCCCCAAGGGCAGACAAAGTGGTCGTCGGAGCCCATGGCGACGGGCCCCGAAGCAACAAATGCGCCTTCCTTCCTCCCTTGTCCAATCCTTCCCTGGCGGAATCCTGCCAACTAGACTCATTTGCCCTGAGGTGCCCCCTTCGAGCCCCCTCTAAGCCTGGGCTGAGATCTCCAAGCAGCACATCCAGCGCCTGAGCAGAAGCGCACAAGGTTGAGGCTCCCCAGACCTTGGAGAGAACGTCGCCGGCTAGATCACCAGCGCGCCGAAAACACCTCAGGATGCTTGCGCTGAGCTGTTCGAGCAGTGGCAGGCGGCGGAAGAAGACTGTGAGCAATCGCCGCCACCTGCGGCTTCTGACATTCCAGCTCCGACTTCAGAGCCCTGACCTGCGCGTCTAGCCACTTGAGCCCTCGAACGACGGGGTCCTCGGGGTGCGCCAGGGCCTTGAACAGAAGCTTCCGGAACGTCGAAGGAGGTTCCCCCCTGGCCCCATAAACAGGAAGGCCCCCCCGCAAGGCGAGAGCCTTCAGGTGCATCAAGTGCGCAGGAAACCTGAGCATCACAGGACGATGTGGGTTCAAACCCGCGCCGCGCACAACCGAAACCTGCTCGAGCCCTTTCGAGAGCCTGTTGGACACGACAAAATAGTCAAACCGCGAAGGCTCCCCAGGGAAATGAGCATTACCTCCCGCGCAAATCAGTTGTCCGCCCACCTGTTTGGCAAACCCTAAGCCTTCTAAAGCATCGGGCCCGAAGTTGAAGTCGCCCCCGATGATGCACTCCTCCTCCTGACTAATAAGAAAGGCTCCCAGTGAAGTCCGGCTCTTGCCATTGTGCTCGTCCACGCCTACACTGCGCTGCAAGTAGAGCGGGCGCAATAAAAATGAAGGGATCGCTGGTGAATGAACCTTGCAAACAAAGCTGCGCCCAGCCTCGCCCTCAAACTCTGGAACGTCAATCACGCCGAGCCACGAACGTGCGAAGACAGCAACCCCACAACTGCCACCTCCCTGCGAGCCTGGAATGCCAGGCTGCCACATGGACTTCCATCCTGCTCGAAGCAGAGCGCCTGGCGCTCTCTGAATTTGCCCCTGGTCACGTAAACGGTGTTCTTGGCATGAGATTATGTGCGCCGTCGCCCGAGAGTCTACCAAGATTTCCTTCATGGTACCCCACGTGTTACAGTTGACCGTCCAGACTTCCAAGGCAACCGACTGCGCCTCTCCCAGGCCGACCCTAGAGACCGACACCAACACTTCATCAGAGGAATGAGAGGAGGTCTGATGGGGCACTAAAGGAACCTGTTGAGAGTCGAGCTCCGAATTCCCAAGACAACCGCAGCATTCCCGTTTCAGCCTCCTGAGGGTAGCCCATGTGAGAAACGATATAGGCCCAGCTCGGGGCAATTTAAACATCGTGAACAAACTGCGAACACTAGCGTCTAATTCAGCAAAAGCCCTGGCCTCTGAATGCCAAGCTACACGTACATCAACAGACATGGACTCACTCACTGAAAATTCATGGGTTGACCCCCCCCCCCCCTTTGCCAGAGGGGGGGGGGGGGGGGATTCGAAGCCAGCTCAGCCGCGACTTGGTCGCGAATGTCAGGCTCTGCAGGGGGCTCTTGTTGGCGAACATCTGGAGAGGCTGAAGCAGAAGAACCACCCTGCCCTCCTCCAGCACGAACCCCTCCACACTCCTGACCTCCGCCAGCAGCCGATTGACCGCTATCCCCAGTCTTACGCTTCTTCTGTAACCGAGACAAATGCTCGTTATGGGCTTTCTTTGCATCCTCGTACTTCTTGATGGCCTCCTGGAACAGAGATTTAGCAACGTCGCGTACCTTTCCAGAAAGCTCATCACGACGAGTCTGAATGTGATCCATGGCTTCACTCGACAGCTAATACTCTTCCGCATCCTCTTCAAACAGGTCGGAATTGATAAGCTGGTCGGTCGCCACCTTCACACCACAAAGATCATTGAGAGAAATAGCTGCCGTCGATGTCTGAGCTGTCGGGGCAGGCTGAAGTTATGTGACCATTTGCTTGTACTCAGCACCCGCTCTGATCAACTCTTCGTGCATCTCGGACACGTTCTGCCTCTGCGCCTCAACTTCCGACCGCCAGTTCGTAAGCTTAGTAAACTCGGTCTTGAGATTCTTTTCAATCCTCCGAACTTTGGCATGCGCTTGCTGCACACGCTGTTGAGGACTGACTTCGGGAGGGTGCTCAGAGCGTTCCAAGGCCAGCGCAAGTTGCTTGTACTTCTGCGCCTGCTCGGAATCACCTGCCTTCGAATGAAGTGCGGCCAGTTGATGGGCCTCTGAAACAGATAGCTTCGGCACCTCACCCACTGGAAGAGGAACTGGTCCGTCCTCAAGTGTATGTGTAGCCGTCCCCGTCGTCGTAGAGGAATCCCAGCCCTTGTCTTTGCCGAACCCGAATCCTTTGCCCTTGCCGTGCTTGCCGCCACCCTTGGACGTGCCCGTGTAGATGTAGCGAACGCTCTCGCCGGAACTGCCCCAATTGGATGAATCCGAATCGCCCCAGACACCTCCAGCAGGTTGGGCAACGGCTTCACGTACACGCGGAAGGGGCGAATAGCAGTGCTTGCACAAGTTGAAATAGGGATGGTTACGCTTGCATCCACAAGTGGGGCAGACCACCTTGGCCTGGTTTGAGCCAACAGCATCGGAACCCTGCTGGCGCCACGGAGGGTCAGCCCACCCACCACCGCCAGAACAAGCACCCCCACCCCGCGAAGAAGGGCTGGGCCCCATCGGCCGGGTGTAGGCAGCGAACGTAAAAGAGGAATGCTGCACAGCGGGCAATGCCCGCACAGTAACGAAACTGCTGAGAGCGTGGGGCCGCAATCCCCAATGCCACAAAAAACTCTAAGTCCTGAGCCACCGCTACGGACTTGAGCCAAAATGGCTTGAGCCAAAATGGCTACGGACTCTTTTTCTCGTGCCCCTCATCATCATCATCATCATCATCATCATCATCATCATCAGCAGCAGCAGCATCATCAGCAGCATCATCCTCATCATCAGCATCATCATCATAATCATCATCAGCATCATCATCAGCATCATCATCCTTATCATCATCTTCATCAGCATCATCATCATCAGCATCATCAGCATCATGTTCATCATCAGCATCAGCATCATCATCATCATCATAAGCATCAGCATCATCAGTATCATCATCATCATCATCATCATCATGATCAGCATCACCATCAGCATAATCATCATCATCAGTATCATCATCATTATCATCATCAGCAACATTACCATCGTCATCATCATCGTCATCATCGGCATCATCATCAACATCATCAACATCAGCATCAGCACCATCACCATCAGCATCGTGAGCAGCATCATGATCAAGAGCATCAGCATCATCATCATCATCATCAGCATCATCATCATGAGCAGCGTCATCATCAGCATCATCGTCATCATCGTCATCATCAGCATCATCAGCATCAGCATCAACACCGTCATGAACAGCAGCATCATCATGAGCAGCAGCATCATCACGAGCCTTATCATCATCATCAGCAGCAGCATCATCATCGTCATCAGCATCATCATCATGAGCATCATCATCACCACCACCATCATCATCATCACCATCATCTTCACCATCAGCATAATCATCAGCATCAACGTCATCATCATCATCACCATCGTCATCACCAGCATCATCATCCTAATCAACGCCATCATCACCATCGTCATCATCTTCATCATCTTCACCATCAATGCCATCATCATCATCATAATCATCAGCATCATAATCAGCATCATCATCAGTATCATCATCATCCGCATCAGCATCGTTATCATCAGCATCATCGCCAGCATCAGCAGAATCAGCATCATCAACATCAGCATCAACACCATCATCATCAGCATCATCAGCAGCAGCACCGGCATCATCAAGAGCAGAATCACCATCATCATCGGCGTCATTAGCTTCATCATCACCACCGTCATCATCAGTATCATCATCACCATCACCACCATCATCCTCATCATCAGCATACTCATCACCAATATCATCATCACCAGCATCATCACCAGCATCATCATCAGTATCAGCATCAGCATCGTCAGCATCACCATCAGCAATAGCATCATCAACATCAACATCAACATCAACATCATCATCATCATCAGCATCACCATCATCATCATCATCATCATCACCAGCATCATCATAGTCATCATCACCATCATCATCAGCATCATCATCAGCATCACCACCATCAGCATCATTAGCATCAGCATCATCATCAGCATCATCATCGTCATCATCATTATCATCGTCGTCATCATGTCCCTCTCCTCCTCCTCCTGCTGCTCCTCGTGCTCCCTCTTCCTCTCACAAGTGTTCCCTGAATGATTTCCACCACGGCTGGGGGAGCACATAGTCCAACAGCCTGGTGAAACTCAAGCACACCGTTCGGCCATCTTGGCGTTCCCAGACAGGCAGGGGGCGGCGGTGACTCGCCGTCGGAATCTCCGATGGTCGAGGCCGCCTGAAAGTCAAACGACGCAATCCGATCGAGGCAAGCAAGCAAGAGATGCTAAAGCGGAGGCGTGGACATCCAGAGGCGTCGGCGCCTAGGGGGCTGCGGCGAACGACCACCTTCTTGGACTCGTCCTCAGATATCACCTCGCCCTGCGGTGCGACGCGGGGGGCAGCCCACACGCCGGGGCCCAGAGCGCTACACCATCCACACGGGGAGAGCAGCGGCAGCGCCGGACCTACCTCTCCGCGGGTGGGGGCAATCGGACGTCGCAGGCAGCATACGATCCAGGCCGCAGCCTGACTCCGCTTCCAACGAGGTCGCAAGCATGTCGTAGGATGGCCGGCTCGTGCCTTGCCATCGCTCGGACGGCCCTTCCCCGCGCATCAGTCGGCGTCGTGCGTCTTTTTGTGTCGCAGGATGGTCCCGGATGCTCCTCGATGGTCCTCGCCGAGAAAAGATGCGCACGTCCGAGCGATGCCAGGGGGGTGCCCGCCCCTGGTATTTGGTCGCTGCCAGTCCCTGCCTAGGTGCGACCACCCCCCCAGCGAGCCGCAGCGAGCACTTGGCGTGCCAGAGCAATGCATCTCCGCGCGGTGCGGGGAGGGCCTGCACGAGGGAGGGCGAAAAGGGGGGCGGGGAGGCGGGCGGGAGCGAGGGCCAGAGAGGAGGAGGAGGAGGAGAAGGAGGAGGAGGAGGAGGAGGAGGAACAGGAGGAGGAGACAGAGGAGGAGGAGGAGGAGGAGAAGGAAGGAGAACGAGGAGGAGGAGGAAGAGGAGGAGGGGAAGGGGGAGGGGAAGGGGGAGGGGAAGAGGGGAGGGGGAGGGAGAGAGGGGGGGCGAGGAGGAGGAGGAGGAGGAGGCGCAGGAGGAGGAGGAGGAGGAGGAGGAGGAGGAGGAGGAGGAGCCCGAGGGGGAAGGGAACATGAGCAGAGCACAGGGCAAGCGGGGAAAGGAGAGGGAAGGGAGGGGGGGAGGACACGGCGTCACTCGTGGCGGCGTCCACGGCAGGCTCGCTGCGAAGACCAGTGGCTGAGACAATCGCAAGGGAGGGAGAAAGGATACCCCAGATTTCGTTATACAAGGGAGGGGGTCACAACCCTCCCAGACGAGAAGTTTTAGACCCCCAGACTATCCATGAAAGGGCGGCCCTTTGCCCAGACCCCCCCGAACCCTCCAAGAAAACTCAAATTAGACCCCCCCCCCGAATGTGACCCCCCCCACTTTGTTATGGAATCCGGAGTACAGACAGGGAAACGGGACGGATTACGGAGGGCGCAGCCTGATCGATATCCAGCAACTTCCCAGCAGCCTCGAAGTTTGCGGCGGCCACCAGCACCTCGATGCGCGTCTCGGGGAGGGGCCTCTCGCAGGGGATCGGAGTGGGGCGGGGGGGAAGATAGGCAGGACCTGATCCGAGCGGGAGACGACTGTGAGCCCGCTGGGATCATGTGGGTGGGCGGGTCGTTTTCAGCTCGTGCTTCGTCCTGCATCTGCACGGTGACTCGGTGACCTCTGGATTTCGCCTCGCCTATCGTATGCAACACCGTCAGAGGATGGATGTATTGACTTGCTGGACGAGAGAGTCAGCGGCCCACGACAAAAAAACGTGGGTGAAACGATCGGTTCCGTGTGGCTGCCTGGTGTCGGCGACTCTGCGAAAACCCAGTGGGCCTCCGTTCAATAAAAGTGCAGCGTGCACGTATCATGGGGTAGGATGGTGAAGCGTGTGGCACGTACAGCAAGCGTTCGCCCTTGTCGTTGGACGAGCCTTGAAAAACATTCAAGATGTATGAGTGCGAAGAAAGGAACAGGGAGCAACAAAACTCTGGTCCGAGTGTGGTCTGCGTCCACCATATCGAAAGCAAGATCCCAGAACACGGATTGCGCAGGATTGCTCAAGTGGAGCACGTATGATAGTGAAGGTGGCCGAAGTTGAGGCGAGAGTGCGATTCTGGAACTCGGGTGTGGCCTGCGCGAAAGTAAAATGTGGCCAGCGCTATGGCGATAGTGTCAGTTTGACCTGACCAGCGACACATAGCTTCTACCACATCGAGTACATCACAGAGATCGCACCGCATGTAGCGCACTACAAAGATGGCACCAAATAGATTGCACCGCATGGGCTGCAACGCGTTGATTGCCCCACACTGCCTGCACCACATAGTTCGCACCACATTTGAAACACGTACAGAGTGCAATGAAGTTTTCTTTGAAGTGCACGCTGGCTAACATCCATAACGACACATGTCGTTGTCCCATGCTCTATCAGGCGAGGGGGCTGAGGCGAGCGCAGATGGCATGCGGTCGTAAGCTCTTGCTTTGCGTGTCGTTGCGGCGGCCCTGGCGACACGCTTTGCCTGGTAAGCTCATAACTTGGCGTTCCGCCCCGCATGGCGGGAGGCTGGGAAGAGCTCGGGACGTTGACGCTTGGGAACCAGGACTTGATTAGCGAGTGGCGCCGAAGTGTGCTGAGCCAGAACTGCCGGAGCGACACGCTAAGCAAATGTTCCTGACGACCGTGATGCGTATGAGATCGGCCACGCGGATGTACTCTAGCAGGATTCGGCCAGCGGGCTCTCAATCAGCGGACGAGGAGCTGCCTCTTGGGAAGTAGTGGCGACCAGGTCGGGGAAGCTGAAATGCCGAGTTCTGCCATCGACCCTGGAGGGGCCTCCGTGGACCTCCGGGAACCTCGAGAGACCAGGATCTGGAGCTGAGGCGAACCTCACCGAGAAATCGCATCCTCCTCACCATCTAGGGCTCCCAACTTCCTCCTCAACTAGGGCTCCCAACTTCGCGCTTCGCGCTGCGCGAAGCGCGAATAACTTCGCGCTCTCGCGCCGCCCTCCCAAAGGGAGAATAGGAGGACGAGGAGGAGGGGGAGGAGGAACGAGGACCGCGAAGCGCGAAGCGCGAATAACTTCGCGCCCTCGAGGGAGCCCTTGACCATCCTCCTCCTCAAGCAGGCCTGCCACTCTCGTTCGTCTGGAGCGTGGCGAGGGGCAGCAGGTTGTCGCGCAGGACGTTCGCGCAGGACTCCCCGCCCGGCTTTTCCCAGCGGCAGAGGGCGAGAGCGGACCGAGGCGGGAAGAGCGAACGGAACTTACCTGATCAGGGAGAGGGACAGACGGGAGGGGAGGGGAGGGGGAGGGGAAGGGAAAGGAGACGCAGGGAGAGGGAGGGAAGGAAGGAAACGACAACGAGGGCGAGAGGGAGAGAGAGAGAGAGAGCGCGCCCCTGAGTGGGGTAGACCACATCTGTAATGCACGCATGAATGAACAGGAACCCTCGCGTGCAAACGAGCACCCGCTGCGCAAGCATCAGCACGTGAGCACACGCATCTGCACAAACGAACGCTCGATCGGCCCTGAAGGCCGAGATGTGATCACGGCCTGCTTGAGGGGAGTCCCCGAGCGAATTGGCGCTAACCACGGTCGATCAACATGCACGGAGGGGAGGGCGAGGCCATCGCAGGTGCTGTCATGACTCCTCTCGACACACCCCAGGCCCGTGATGAGAGGACTCCTTCGCTGAGGGGCCGTGGTGGAGGAGGAGGAAGAGGAGGAGGAGAAGGACGAGGAGGAGGAGGAGAGAGAGAGAGAGAGAGAGAAAAAAAAAGGGGGAATCTGGGCAAGAGGGGTTCCTTCCTCCGCGGCCGCGGCCGCCCACCGATTGGCCTGCCAATACATTTTTTATTCCATGAAAGAACACACGATGACGAAACCTGCCAGCATCCCAACTGTTGGGAGGGGGACTCCACCATACTAGAACTGGATGGTGGGACCGTGCAAGAAGAGGGGGAGTCGGCACCGTGCTTGCCAAACCGGCTGCCACGATCAACGCTGCTTGATACCAGGCCGAAGGCCAGAAGCGAAAAGCCGCGGGCGAAAGAGGGCGAGGGGAGGAAGCAGTGAACAACCATGGCCAAGATACAGCGATCTAAACGGTCCCAGCCGAACGTTGCGCACTAAAGGCCGAAACTGGGAAACTATCGGTAGCCCCAGGAGTGGGGAGCCTGGATCATGTCCAGGGTCGGCCATCAGCGAGCACAAAGGGGGGCCACACGCAGTGCCCATGCACGCGGCGTGCGCCACGGCACCAAGTCGCGGGAGCGGGGGGGGAAGGAGCGAAGAGGGAAGGCAGAGGGAGGGAGGGGCGCACACTCGCCCAGAGGGAAGGAGGGACGCGCACCCGCACACTCGGGAGGGACGGGCACTGGCCTGCCAATACATGCGGTCGAGGCCTTGCGCGAGGTCTCTGTCCGACCCAAGTTGGGATTCGGCACTGGGATGAAACATTGTCCTACTGCATCCTAAAAATATGCCAGAACGCGCGCAGTGCTCTTGAGTTCGTTTCACCCAGTAAAACCACACATGCCTCTGACGATTCCGTCGTTACCAATCAACCGCACAATGGGGATCGTGGTCTTTTGAGCTGCCCGTGTGATCGCAGACAGCTATCTCATCCGCCCCCCTCCTCCTCCTCCTCCTCCTCCTCCTCCTCCTCCTCTTCCTCCTCCTCCTCCTCCTTCTCATTATCCTCTTCATGTCCTCCTCCTCATCCTCCTCTTCATCCCACATACTCCTCCTCCTTCACCCCCTTCTCCCACCTTCTCCCACCTTCTCCTTCGCCTCTTCCTTCTCTTCCTCCTCATCCTGTTCCGGTTCATGCCCCCCTCCCCCACCCCCAGCCATTTTTCTCCTCCGCCTCCTTCAGCCTCCTCCTCCTCCGCTTTTTCCTCCTCCTCCTCCTCCTCCTCCTCCTCCTCCTCCCCCTGTTTCTCCGACATCATCCCAACTGCTGTTCCTCATCCCTGTCCTCCCACCTCAGCCTCCACCTCCAACTTCTCTTCCTCTTCCCCCTCCTCCTACTCCTCCTCATCCTCATCAGAATCTGCAGCATCATCATCATCATCATCATCATCATCATCATCATCAGCATCATCATCATCATCATCATCATCATCATCATCATCATCATCATCATCATCATCATCATCATCATCATCATCATCATCATCATCATCATCATCATCATCATCATCATCATCATCATCATCATCATCATCATCATCATCATCATCATCATCATCATCATCATCATCATCATCATCAGCATCATCATCATCATCAGCAGCAGCATCATCAGCATCAGCATCAGCATCAGCATCATCATCATCATCAGCATCATCATCATTATCTCTGTAGCTTCCTCGGCTCTGCAGCTTGTGCGGGCACAGACGCTCAACCGTACCAGGCTGGGTCCCACGCGAGCCAGACATTTCACTGATGGAGTTTGGCGGAATTCTGCAATGAAAAAAAGCGACCTCAAGTCATCAACTTGTCCCTGGCGAACTGGCCTTTGGCAGCGGCCCAGGGATCGCTCACGTTCTTCAGGAGTTCAGGAGGTGCTGGACGGTGTGGTCTTACCACGTCGAGTTCTTGTTACGGTATATGCGTCATCGATGGCCGCCCCTCGCTCACTTCGTGATCGAGCACCCAGACCAAGAGAGATTCATCATGGTGCTCAAGAACACTGTCGCGACGAGCTTGCCCGACATTGCTGCGTGGTGCCACACGCGAGTTCGAGGAGGAGGAGGAGGAGAAGAAGGAGGAGGAGGAGGAAGAAGAGGAGGAGGAGAAGGAGGAGGAGGACGAGGAGGAGGAGGATGAGGCTTGGCTGTGGCCTTGGCGATATCGGTGGATGTGCTGCTGCCGCCTCCGAGCAAAGGCGGCGTGCGCTCGGAGGAGCAGGCGGTCATCAACAGTCTCACGCTCGCCGCAGCGGGTTTGCGTCGGCTACGCCGAGCGCGTTCTGCAGCAAGTCATCCTCGTTGGTTTCGTCAGCAGTGGTGTGTTCCTCCTCCTCCTCCTCCTCCTCCTCCTCCTCCTCCTCCTCGCCTCGTCTCCCCTGCACGCTGTGCTTGGACAAGACGCGCCTGCGTAAAAATAACAAAAACCGACCTCCTCTCACTCTGGAGCGCTCCAGGGGCGGCGCCAGAGGTCGCCAACAGGGATGGGGCCCCCAGCGCCGAATCCAAGAGATTCGCGCGGACCTCCGAAAGCCGGGGCTTGCGCGGTGTGGTGTGTCTTTCCAACGGCTAAGCAGTAGATGATTTCAGATCCTTCGGCCGCGTGGTGGAGAATATCGCAGCGGATCTTAGCTTCGGAGTGTGCAGGCGTATCCTTGTATCTAATCGGTTCCCATGCTGGCTGCTATGTCGGCAAGGCCAACTTGACGCGCGCCACGGGCGTGAAGCATGGCCTGGCCGCCCATGCCTTAGAGCACATCACAGGCTTCCTGTTGCCGCAGTCTCGCGACGGCCGCCTGGCAAGGTACACGGCCCTGCGGGACAGGGTCGGTTCGTCTTTCATGATCCCCATCGTGGTGGTGGACACAGAGAGCAGGGCCTACGCGATTGAGGCAACCATCATCAAGTCTATCACTCCGATCTGCAATCGTGCCGATGAGGACCAATGGCGAGTGGAGAAGCGTGCGGCGAAACCCCTACGACCTGAGCGTGCTCGACCTCATAATCGTCCTCTTCCTCGGCTACGAGCGCAGCAACTACATTCGTTGTGGGCGTCATCAGTTGTCAAGCAAGGGCTTCAAGAGCGATTGGAGCCCAGAGCCCCTTTCCAGACAACGTACTCGGTGCTGTTCGGTTTCGTGGGCCATCTCATCCAGATACTTTGCATTTGTTGTGTTCGCATTGTGCAAGCAGTCGGCTTTCATTGGACTTCACGCCGAGGTGGTCCCGAGATGATGCGGGCGTTGTCTTGTACCGCGTCGCGAGCAACATCAACACGGCTGTGCTGGGCGCAGCGCCCAAGGCAGCCACACGTCGGTTTCTAGAACGATTGCTGCGTCGCCTTCGTTTACCACCACTTACCGTTCGTCCCATTGTTCTTCCTCGGCATTGCAAATCCCGAGTGAGCTTATTGCGTTTGGCGTGGGAAGCTTTACAAACTGTCCGTGTGTATTCTGCGCGGCGGTGGCTTCAGAGACACTTGTCGGTGGTGTGTGGTCGTGCCCCGTCGTGGCACGATAAGCTGGACTCTAAGCGTCGCCTTCGGCCCTTCAGCTTTGACGCCTTCCAGGAGCACAGCTCGCAGACTCTTGGCAGGTATGCTCAGAGGGAGTCGTTGCAGGCACACACGGGCCCGTGGAAGTTGAAAGTGTGGCCGACGGCCAAGTCGGCTCGTTCCGCCGTGCGCACCGGTTGGGCGAACTGGGCTCAACAGCACCGCCTTCATCCTCGAATACGCCGGGCAATGCATCCGCACCTGCATGGTAAGATGATAGACTTCTTCATGCCTCCATGTCCTCCTGCTTGGCGTAAGCAAGAGCGTGTTTTTCAGCAAGTTATGCGGAATGGAACCTCTACTACGACGTTTGTGCCAGACGATCGTGATAGCTAGAAAGTTCGGCCGGTGGAGTTGCAGCAGTTATATGCGAATCTCCTACGTGCGATCGCTATCGACCCGAAGGTGAAGTTCAGGTCTGATTTCTCGGCGTCGCATGTGCTCCCCCTGGCTCTTCGCTAAAACGCATGCCGCTCTGCCTGAGTGGCTTCGAGGCTGCCCTCGAAGTCGGGCTGTTCCATTAGCGCCGCCAGCCCTGTTTTCGTTCGTCAAATCGAAGTGCTTCACGGTCGAGGGCGTGAGCAAGTGTAGCAAAGAGGGCGACGCACGTCTTCGAAGGCTCTTGAATGTGTCGGGCGTGCCGTTTGCATCAGCGGGGATAACGATTGCGAGAACAATGCGAGCAATTGTAGAAACCACTACGTGCACGGGTGAAGTGTTTGATGTAAAGGATGCAATTCCGCTTTTGAAAGACGGTCTGAGAAAGTTGGAAGGCAACGTTTATGGGTGCAGTTATCGGTGTCGTTCTCCGATGTCTTCCACCACAGTCGTGAGCACAGGGTGGGGTCTGCATGGGCCCGATGCGCCAGGAGGTATTCGAGTATTGCCCAGGTCCCAGGACATCTACATCCAGCGTGCGAAGAAGTTTCGTTATCGGTTGCCTCTGAAGGG